GCATTTCGTTGGAAGACATATTAAGCTGGTTCATGAATTTGTTTAAGTCCATAAGTGGGAAAAGGGAAAGATCACCTACAGGATGGTAAAACGATAATACTCACATTTTAGTAGACGTTTAAATAATAAAATATCGGGCCGGCACTCCAGTGCCATTTTAGAAATTTGAGGCCCGCACTAAGTGATTGGTATATAATGATACACTTTGCTTAACTTGATCAAAATTAAGATCCTGCATGCCTCTGATAAACAAAATTAGACCATTTTACCCAGCATTTCTGATTACAGATGCACAATGCTACAGCTAACGAATGCGGATGAAAAAGGAAGTTCAATAAATCAACGAAATCTTTAGAAGCAAATGACAATGTTCTTAAAGAATGTTCACCAATATGTACACATGGTACCCTACTTTACCATTAAGGCAGTATTGGGGAGTGCATAGAGCAAATAGAGGAATATTTCCAACGTTAAAAGCCTAACGTAACCTTGACTACTACTGCGGTTGGATGGAGGAGGGGTTCCATAGTGACCGGCCTGTTATCCATAGATTGATGATACGAGAATTTATTTCTTGGAATAGCCTCAACTTGATCATCACCATTGGGTCCAAGCAAGGGCCGCCCACTGGCACCGGTTGGCGCGTTCCGCAGGAACCGGCTACCATTCATTGATGTCAGGCAGATCCGAGTCCTCCCTCCCAAGACAGCACTATTTCTTTTATCGATTTCCCAACGCTTGTACATTTTCCGTTTCATCTCCTTTAATTTGGCCATATCTTTCATTGATCCGACGTCAATATGGCTGAAAAAGTTAAAGGAAAAATCAGTACGAAAGGCCTTTTGCTTAGCCCATTTCACGTTACGCATACATTAATAAACAACTTTGCATGAGGAAGAAACAGACCATAAGAGGAGAGCGAAAGAATTGATGATGCAGTTCAACAAAAGGGTAACCAAATGTTGGCCTCAACGAGTGAAGTGCTCTAATTAAGTATTTAAGCCTCGAAAAGTCAATGAATGCATTTTGAAATTACCTAATTCACAAGAGCATATGTGGGCCAAGCAAAGACGAAACGAAATGGAAAAGCAACCTAATAGTAGCTTTTACTTAGTGTAGTACGCGTGTTTGCACATAAGTGTAGAAATATTTCATATTCAGCACAACTTCAAAAACGTTCAAAAGTTGGCAAGATCTAAGGCAACATATAGCTTAAACAAACTATACATTGAAACCTATAGCCTCAATTTCACGATTTGATGCACTGATCCTTGCTAACTCAATTGGCGTTGCGTAACCTTTGCCAACAACTGAGAAAGCAGTGAATAAAACACCCTGACTTCTGATGCAGCAATTTACAGCCTTAAGAGAAAAGGTCCACTCACGATGGGTATTCGGAGCTACAGCACAATTGAAGCCAGTGGTTCGAGCAGCTAACAAAATACGGATTTGAGTTCGACGGAAACTTTTTTGTAACCTAAAAGAATGGTGGAAAGGATTGTAACTCGATATTTTCCTCAGATGATTATAAACACCGACACTTACGTGTTCATTAGTGGTTAAGCCCTTTGAAAGTATGCCAACGTGAAACATGGTGAGACTGAAGACCGGCAAAAAGATCATCCCGACCAAGGTCATGAGAACGATACTATTAAGACTCGTCAAAGAACCACACAATTTAGTCATGCCATTCGAAACATTTGTAAGCAAGGCGAAGAAACAACGATTTAGCATGAAAATAAAGTGACATAAAAAGAGCTGATGTGAATCCAAGATGTTAATGAGGCTGTGGTAAATCAGAGGCCAAACCAAGCGTGTTACTACAACTTTAAAGTTCACACACGAAGGCTAAATAATAGTCTCGATTAGATTAATATCTCGTTAAAAGGATACGCTATAATGTTTGTATAGTGCTTCATTGGTTGCGAGGAATGCATGAGATAAATCAAAGAGACCAAAAAAACAGCCATCATATGCAGCGACACAGTAATGAGGAATGTGAAAAAGTATCGATAGTTTCGCCTGCCTATACAATTATTGACCCAGGGGCAATGATGGTCGAAGTTCTAGAAAATATCTAAAGGGACAAGACACACACCAACCTCAACACACTTGTCGCAGGTGGAACAGTGCGTCGACCTCGGGAGGCGATAGAATCGGCAAGTACTGCACCACTTCGTGATCACCGCACACTTGCGCACCTCGTATTCGTGAGATGGTGGGGCATCTATTTCATCATAGTACCGAGCTTCAGTGTCTAAAGCTGAACTGATGTAAAACATAAAAATCGAAAACCAACCAACAGGAAAGTAGCCTGGGTCCATGAAGGTAGTCCTGGCGAAAGCGCTGACAACAAACAGTGCAAAAACGATGTGAATAACGAAAATTGCCCATGATGTATTCTGAGAAAACTCGAGACATCTGTGAAGAGACGAACAACGAGTCGGTTGAGCACAATGAAAGCATACCGACCATTTGTGTACAGAAATCCAAAAACAAGAAAAGCTAGGAGTGCTGCTGAGCGATTCCTAAAAAAGCCTGTTAGCGCTTAAGTGACGAACTCATACATATTGTCAAAATACTTCAAGCATCAAGGATAACAACATTCACGCTGATTACATGTGTAGGTTCTGTAACATAGGAAAGTGGATAAGTGAGGGTGAGCTACCTAATAAATCGGATCTAGCAGGAACAAAGCTTACTCATACAAGGATAGATTGACTTAAAGGTACAATAAACATGGTTTGAGATAACAACAGCACAGTAATTTGAAAAAAAATAAAAGCAGGTGACCAAGAGAACTAAGTCTACAGGACCATAGGTTGGTGGGCAACAGAAAAGAGTAAAAAAATACAAACGATGAAGTCGTCAGTAAACAAATCACTGCAAGTGGCAAAAATCACAAAAGCACAAGGGCTTAAAGGTAACCAAATCTACCTCTAAGTAGGAATCCAAATTCTAAACCAACTTACATAAAAGTGAAATAAACTATATTCAAGATAATTAACAAGCTCCAGGAAGCAAATGCCGGCAGCAGATCTAAAGGTTTCATTGTGAATCGATGATTTTCAAAATCCAATCGAAAATACGGTACCACCGCATCCCATCCAAGATCGGACCGCACAGCACTGAGGGGTTTCGAAAAAAGCGGTGTTACTAACACAAGTGTAATTACAAAATTAGAAATCAAGGCACAGTTAGCAAGAGTCGTTCCACCAAATAAATCATTGATCCTCCTCTGCAATTAGGATGCATTTTATTTCGACGAAATTGTAGGAATAGATAGTTCCAAAAGTAAGAGCCTCATTCGGTGTCAAAATTGTTCGCCATATAGTTACGTTTAAATCATGTGCGATACAATAATGCCTTACTATCTGTATGCGGACGTATAATCACTTACAACTTTGTGCCGTCTTTTAACTTAG